AAACATTGCACAGCAGGGTACTGCGTCGATATTGCCTGGGAAGGGGCATGTCGGAACCTACTGGGGCGTTGGGAATATCGCTCTAGGAGGTGGTTGCACATAGCTACATGTGTAGAAGTTCATCGAGTTCAAGACTCATGCTGCTCTGCTCTTTGCTATACGTACGTTATAGCTCAACAGTATAAAAAGAGTTTATCATAGAAGATGAGAAGGCAGGTGCATGCGGGGGTGGACGGTGGCTGCAGCCACGGGAGGTGAGGGGCGTTGACAGGTCCTGCATGCCCCTTAATCCTGTGTCCCCCACAGCCATTCTGTGTGGACTGCGTTGTTCCCATTTTCCAGCTAAGGCACTCGAGGCTCAGAAGGCAAAATACTTTGCCCGAGGTCACAGAGCGAGCGGCAGTGCCAGGCTCACACTCCGATCACAGAGCCCAGCGCCTCCGCTCCACTATTCCTCCTTGGCATTAGTTATTTATGGAACTTGCTCGGGCAGACTAGATAAACGCTGAGGTCTCCTCCAGCTCTGAGGCTCGGCTTGCGTGTGATTAAATGAGAAGCGGGCGTGTGGGGCAGCCTCACCTCCCAGGAGGAGCTGGAGGCCAGGTGTGCAGATGGAGGGCTGGTCTTCCCTCTGCCCTGCTGGCCTTCCTCCTTCCTCCGCATCCTCCCACCCAGGCTTATCTGCTGGTGAGGAGGCCGGAGTTTATCAACGCTACACTCAATTATGCTGCCCATCTGTCTCTGCAGCTCCGGGAGGCCTGGCACTGAAGCAGCCAAGGCCGGGCAATCGATCACCACCTGCCGTCCTCCCTCTGGACCCTCGCTCCTCCCCAGGCTGGGTGGGGGGCTTCATGGAGTGGTGAGGACAGGAGGGGAGGGGAGGGAAAGACACTGCATTTACCTGCCACCTGGATCCCAGCACCAGGCAGGCTCTCTGGGCTGTGCTTTGGTAGGTAGAGAAGGAGGGAGGAGCTTGGCCAAGGCTCTGCGTTTCAGAAGGATTCAGGGGATCAATCCCACACTTTCTCTTAAATCCAGAGATGCTGCCTGGAGAAGGTAGGTCCAATGGGGTTTGCAGAGCAAGCCTTCTCAAGGAAAAAACTTGCCCCTGGCATGGGCGACCAATCCTGCTTCCCACACCATGGTTCCAGGGCTGACCTGAAGGTCCATGCTGGCTTCTGCACAAAGAGTTGTCCCCTGTCCCCAGCCAGAAGGCAGCTGAGATTTGTGTGTGGCAGCTGGCTGTCTGTCCCTGAGGCTGCAATCCAACCACACTCACCAAGGAACAGTGCTTTTCCCTGCACTGGCCCCCAAGGGTCGTTGTATCCAGGAGTCAAGGAACAGGCCCAAGAGGCCCAGGGGGTAACAGTCCGGATGGAGGAGCTGAGGACACATCTCTGACGGGATTTGCAACTGAGGTGGGCACTCTGAGCTGGCCCAGCATCTACTCCTGGAAAGCAGGCGTTGCTCTGCATGGGCCAAGTTAGAGGGTCAGGCTAGTGTCTAAGACCCTGCACTTGAATCCTGGCCCCACCACATAGACGCTGTGCAACTTCCAACAAGTCACTTACCCCTTTTGACCCTCAGTTGCTTTCCCAGCAAAACGACACGAAATACTTTTTTTGCTTACGCACAGGGTTGCTGGGAGGATTTAATATAATATACACGTGCTGTGCATGGTTTGGTATTCATATCCACTCACCAGTACCCGCTATATGCTCATTCCTACACTTGGTGCTTTGGGGACATGGCTCCTGCCGCAAGGAGCTTGCAATCCAGTTGGGAAAAACGCGCACATGGCTGTCTGAACTCCTGATCACCCTGAGAGATTACAGAGGGAAGACAATTAGCTTTCTCTGCAGCTCCCCAGTAGAAGCTGCTAATCAGCCTGCCTGAGTGGGCCGTGTGCAAGACGGCCTTACTTGGTGATGGGAGGCGAGTGGGCAGCTCGAGGCTCCATCCTAGAAGGGGCTGTGGCTCAGCAGCGAGGGGGAGGACACTTCTGGGACTTGGCCAAGCCTAGGGTCAAAGTGCAGGCAGACAGCCATCCAGTTGCCGCCCCCCTGGAGTTAACCCCTGTCCAGGCTCCGGCTCCCCACCATCACCCACCCAGCCCAGCCCCAGGAGGCTGGGAGGAGGGAGCTGCCTGTGAGGAGGGGAAAGGACAGTCCCTGGAGGTTTTCCATTAAGTTGCGAATGGTTTCTTAATCCCCTCTGTGTGGGTGAGCACTGACTGGGCACTTGGAGCCAAGGTCCTGGAGAAGGAAAGGCCAGGAACTCAGGTAGGATGGAAAGAGCAAGGAGGGGCTGGATGGTGGCAGAGTGGTAAAACACAGTGCTCTTTAAGGCAGGGAGAGGTTCCGAGTTCAAGTCTCAAAACCTGCCTGAGTATGCAGTGCCCATGATCCAGGGCTGGCAGAGGCTAGGGGTGGATCGTGGCGGTGAGACCCTGTTGGGGGTATTGTCTGTCTCTCTGTCACTCGTGGAAGAAAAAAAAAAAAAGTAAACTTTTTCAAAACATGTATTTTTTTCCTTTTAGAGAGGTGTTTTTTTGTTTGTTTGTTTTTTGGAGAGGTTTTTGCTATAGGGCGTGTGCGCTCTCCAGAAAGACAGAGAGAGACTGAGAAACAGAAAGTGAGAAATCTGCTCCCCCCCCCAGGGGGGATGGCCACACTGCAATCCCTTCTCTTCCATTCTCCTCTCGGGATCTTGGGCACACGCTCCCGGTGTGAGTTTAAGCCACTGGGTCCAGGACTCGAACTGCGGTCGGCTACATGGGAGTTCAGTGACATAGCCATTACACTAACTGCTGGTCCTAAAACATGTATTAAAGGCCGGGCAGTTGCTGAGGGCCAGCCGAAGACCTTCTCTGCTCGTGACCTGCCTCAGGCTCTGGCAGTCACTTTGCATTCCTGGTCCTGTCTTCCCAACCAGAGTGGCGCTCTTTAAAGGCATGACCTTGTAAGTTGTTTCTGTTCCCAGCTCTCCACTCTCTTGGGGCAATACTGTGCCCACAGTGGGTTCACTAATGGAGGCCGTACACCTCCCAACTTCCACTTCGCCCTGAGAAGTCCATAGCTGGAGAGCCTCCCCAAACCTGAAGCATGATGGGAGCTGAAAAGGCGCTGCCATTTATAGGCTGTGTATGTGCAACACACTTGACTCATTTCATTCAAACACCAACCTTGTTTCATATATAAGGAAACAAAGCTCAGAGAAGTCCGTCACTTTTCCCAGGTGCTCCAGCCATGAGTGGCAGAGGCAAGCTTGGGGTCCTGAGCTACTTGCTGGTGGATCTAGTCATAGCAGGTCTAAGTGGGAGTCAGGAGCCTCTGGGATGTAAGTGTAGCCTGCACAGGCCTTGAACTCAAGTCCATGACAGGGATCCCATGGGGACTGTTTGTCCTCTGCTTCCTCTACACTCACATAGCTCACCACGAAATCCCCTACCCTTTCTGGACCCCAATCACTGGTTCAGGAGGCTGGCTTCCTCAGGTGTCCCCTGGCGCATGTTTGCAGCATCGCATGTACGTGTGCATGCGTGTTTGTTTACCCTGAGTTTTCTGTGTCAGTACACACACACCCCTACGCAAAACCTCTGTGCCTTTTCAGTCACGGCTGTTTTTCCCACCTTCAGATGTGGCTGCAAGAATAAGTGGGAAGTCGTCAGATGTAAATAGGCATGCTGCTCTCCTGCTTGGGGACAGTGCCCTGCCTCCAGAGGCCCCTCTCCCAAGCCCCAGCATCCTGAAAGCAGGGTGAGGTGGTCAAGGAGCCCCCTGGCCAGCTGAGAGGCACCTGCCTGGATGGTGGGAAGAAGGACAACCCTGGGCCAAGGCCCTGGGACAAGAATGGGCACTCAGCCAGCTGCTGCAGCAGCCAGTGTACCCCAGGCCCTCCAGAGATCCAGCCTAGGCCAGGGCTGGACCTGGGGGCAGGGAAGTGAGGGCGGATGTGTGGCTTCTGGACATGGGTTGACACCTGTCTCTTACAGCTTGTCAGTTATGTGACTTGGGCCAAGTTATTTAACCTCTCTGGGCCTCAGTTTCTTCATCTGTAAAATGAGGGTCTTGATGCCTATCTCATAGACCTGTTATGACGGTGAAGTGAATTAAGATATTCAGTCTTTCCGAGACTGACCAGTGGTAGGTGATGACATGCGTGTGCACTTCCCCGACACTCCCAGCTGAAAATCTGGGATCAAACTGCCACTCAGAAGTTAGACCAGGCCTGGGAACCAGCAGTTAGCGTAATGGCTATGTCGCTGGACTCCCACGTAGTCGACCGTGGTTCACGTCACGGACCCGGTGGCTTAAAACTCACGCCGGGCGCGTGTGCGTGCGTGCCCAAGATCCCGAGAGGAGAATGGAGGAGAAGGGATTGCGGCGTGACCATCCCCCCTGGGGGGTGATTTCTCGCTTTCTGTCTCTATGTCTCTCTCTGTCTGTCTGGCGAGCGCACGCGCCCTACAGTGAAAATCTCTCCAAAAAAAGAAAGAAGTTAGACCAGGCCGGAGCAGGGAACACAGAGTCTGGCCCTTTTGTTTCCATCTTCAGTTCTAAACCAGGGTTGGGTTTGTCTTCAGAGCAATGCAGCCTGGCCCTGGGATCTGAGCAAGGACCTGGGTTGGTTACCCACACCCAGATTCTAGATTGGGGATGGAGGGGGCTATCTGGGCAGCTGGAGGAAGGGGCCTGGGGCCACAGAGATAGGTTCATACAATATGCACTCACTGGGCACCTGTCCAGTTCTAAGGGTGCAGCACTAAGCCAATGGTCTCTAGTTGGAGAGACTTTTGTAGGTGATGTGGTCAAAGCTGTGACAGAAAGAAGCACAAAGCCGGCTCCTTAGCTGCCTGGGCAGGGGGTGGGGGGCGGGGATCTGGAGAAACTCTGTAGGGGGTGACTGAACTTAAGCTGAGTCTTAAAGAACAAGTAGGAGTTGTCTGAGAGACAGCAAGGAGGAGACAGGAGAAGGGGTGGCACATTAAGATACCGTCTGCACCAAGGTTTGTGCACCGTGGGTGAGCCAAGTGGCAACAAGAGAAACCAGAAGCAGCCAAGCCAAATCACAAAAGATCTTACCTACAGGGCTGAGGAGCTCAGACCCAGGCTTCTTAAACCCCAGTATCTTCTCCCAGGCAGCTCAGGCTGTTGGGAAAAGCAAAGCTCCTGCCTCCAGGGAGTACCTTCAAGACAGGAAGTGTTCCCACCCAGGAACACCTAGCAGATTCCAGGCAGGACTACCTCCGCTTCCCCAGCCTGCCTGGATATAGGGCTTGGGTCAGCTGTTTTTCAGCCCTCAGAGTCCTTGAGAGCCTGTCTCAGATGTGAGGAGCTGTTCTTGGGTCCACCTTCCCCTGCCCGGCTCCACCTATAACTCCAGAGGGAGGTCTGGAAACTATCATTTTCCCTTCAATTACCCAAGAGCCAAGGAGGGAGGGATGGAGGAGGTAGGATGATTAGAAGATCTGCTCCACATCCCTTTGGACTCAGAAGGATTCTGAAGGTATCTACTCCTTCTCTCCCCAGTGCACACATGCACGCACACACATGCACACGCACACACGCACACATGTGCACCCACTCATACCGCTTCCTCTGAGCCTCTATCCCGGGAGCTTCCATAGCGCTCTCTCACACCTTCCCTGAAGATGCACAGGCACCCACGCCCCGACAGGTCATAGGAAAGGACATGAAAGCCTTAAGGACTGCAGAACAGAACCCAAGGGCCCTGGCTTGCCTCAGTCCTGCCCTCTGCAGATCCTTTGGCCTTTGGAGTCAGACAACGCAGAAAGAGGGAGTAGTTCTTGCTTCTCTGCCCCACCATAATCCTGCATTCTCCTTTCCAGGGCTGCAAGGGAGCATGGCAATGAGTGAGCAGGCCCAGCCCCAGAGGATGACGATGAGGCTCAGCACCCAGGCGGGCCGGAAGTGATGGTGACCCATCCTGGTGTAGAATGACTGCCCTTGGAGGGCAGCTCCCCAGGCCCTGGCAGGGCTGCTGACCCTCAATCCACAGAACGCAAAGAGCAGGACTCCAGACTCTTCTTGTGGATGGTTCCCGGCCCTGCGGCTCCACCATGAGGCTCCTGGTGGCCCCCGTCCTGCTAGCTTGGGTGGCTGGTGCCATTGCTGCTGTACCCGTGGTGCCCTGGCGTGTGGCCTGCCCTCCTCAGTGTGCCTGCCAGATCCGGCCTTGGTATACACCCCGCTCGTCCTACCGCGAGGCCACCACCGTGGACTGCAATGACCTGTTCCTGACGGCGGTGCCACCAGCACTCCCTGCGGGCACTCAGACCCTACTACTGCAGAGCAATAGCATCGTCCGAGTGGACCAGAGTGAGCTCGGCTACCTGGCCAATCTCACTGAGCTGGACCTGTCCCAGAACAGCTTTTCAGATGCCCGAGACTGCGACTTCCACGCCCTGCCCCAGCTGCTGAGCCTGCACCTGGAGGAGAACCAGCTGACCCGGCTGGAGGACCACAGCTTCGCGGGGCTGGCCAGCCTGCAGGAGCTCTATCTCAACCACAACCAGCTCTACCGCATCGCCCCCAGGGCCTTCGCCGGCCTCGGCAACCTGCTGCGGCTGCACCTCAACTCCAATCTGCTGAGGGCCATTGACAGCCGCTGGTTTGAGATGCTGCCCAACCTGGAGATCCTCATGATAGGTGGCAACAAGCTGGACGCCATCCTGGACATGAACTTCCGGCCCCTGGCTAACCTGCGCAGCCTGGTGCTGGCGGGCATGAGCCTGCGAGAGATCTCTGACTACGCTCTGGAGGGGCTGCAGAGCCTCGAGAGCCTCTCCTTCTATGACAACCAGCTGGCTAGAGTGCCCAGGCGGGCGCTGGAGCAGGTGCCGGGGCTCAAGTTCCTGGACCTGAACAAGAACCCACTCCAGCGGGTGGGGCCAGGGGACTTTGCCAACATGCTGCACCTCAAGGAGCTGGGGCTGAACAGCATGGAGGAGCTGGTCTCCATCGACAAGTTCGCCCTGGTCAACCTGCCCGAGCTGACCAAGCTGGACATCACCAACAACCCCCGGCTGTCCTTCATCCACCCCCGCGCCTTCCACCACCTGCCCCAGGTGGAGACCCTCATGCTCAACAACAACGCTCTCAGTGCCTTGCACCAGCAGACGGTGGAGTCCCTGCCCAACCTGCAGGAGGTGGGGCTCCACGGCAACCCCATCCGCTGCGACTGTGTCATCCGCTGGGCCAACGCCACAGGCACCCGGGTCCGCTTCATCGAGCCCCAGTCCACCCTGTGTGCGGAACCGCCAGACCTCCAGCGCCGACCAGTCCGCGAGGTGCCCTTCCGGGAGATGACGGACCACTGCCTGCCCCTCATCTCCCCACGCAGCTTCCCCCCGAGCCTGCAGGTGGCCAGCGGAGAAAGCATGGTGCTGCACTGCCGAGCACTGGCTGAACCCGAACCCGAGATCTACTGGGTCACCCCCGCTGGGCTTCGACTGACGCCAGCCCGGGCAGGCAGGAGGTACCGAGTGTACCCTGAGGGGACCCTGGAGCTGCGGAGAGTCACGGCGGAAGAGGCAGGACTGTACACCTGCGTGGCCCAAAACCTGGTGGGGGCTGACACGAAGACAGTTAGTGTGGTCGTTGGCCGTGCTCCTCACCAGTCAGGCAGGGATGAGGAGCGGGACCTGGAGCTCCAGGTGCAGGAGACTCACCCCTACCACATCCTGCTGTCTTGGGTCCCTCCACCCAACACCATCTCCACCAACCTCACGTGGTCCAGCGCCTCCTCCCTTCGGGGCCAGGGACCCACTGGTGTGGCCCGCCTGCCCCAGGGCACCCACAGCTACAACATCACCCGCCTCCTGCAGGCCACAGAGTACTGGGCCTGCCTGCAAGTGGCCTTTGCTGATGCCCACACCCAGTTGGCTTGTGTATGGGCCAGGACTAAAGAGGCTACTCCTTGCCACAGAGCCCTGGGGGACCGGCCTGGGCTCATAGCCATCCTGGCTCTGGCTGTCCTTCTGCTAGCAGCCGGGCTGGCCGGCCCGCTTCGC